ATATGAAAATGGATGTTTAAATACATATATTTTGTACACCCATTGATCTGAATAGACAATCAGAGGGACCAAATGGAGAGAAGAGAGCAAAGCGAAATGACGTGTAGTGGATGAGGCGTGTGAGCCAACTCCATTTAATCAAACGTTAATCAATATTTATAGTCACACAGAAATAAGCTACAAACATGTGGCGAGTAGGATAAGATGTATACACACACACGCTTGCATAAAAACAGTCAAGATTTATAAGTGAATAATTAACAAGGTCAAAACGTGATTCAAGAAAAATGAATGTGGGCTTAACGTAGTAACCGACACTACAATAGGAACGGATTCGCATTGATAACACGATTCAAGACAAACAAAACCACTTCCTTTTCCAAGTACCTCATAACTCACTGATCCACAGAATATCAGATAACACCTGTGAAGATCTAAATATATCACTTTTTATATACATTTTTAGGGAAACAAAAAACGAGTGATTGAAGAATTTGGACTGATTAAACAAGAGAATAAATTATCTAATATGTTTATTTCTACCCCGTAGCAGCTCAAATCGAAATTTCTATCTACGTAAACTTCGTTAGTCATTAGCTCATGAAGTCTGAAGCAACTTCGAGAATACATAGAGTATTAAGTGGATCCATTAGTTATTTTTCCACATTCCCGAAATAGATATAACAGAAAAATCCTGATACATAACTATCAAAACTGTAAAATATATAATCATACATTCACAAATTTCCATCTGAGTTTTCCTTTGACAGAACCAGGTCTGTTGAACACTCTATACCGATTAGAGAGGATATCTAAGTTTACAAAAAATGATCGACTTCATTATCATTTTAAGTGACAACTTTCTGAAGACCTTTAATAAGACAATACGACTGATTGATATCGGACCCTACGATTCATACAGTCCAGTATCTCCTCAAAAGCAAGAGATTAAAAGTATAAAAGCTTCTTGTACAACCGTTACTTTATAAAATTGAAGCTATCTTATCGTCAGGATATTTTTAGACATATTCGTAGAGAATTCTTATCACTCTCCTAGGTTTTATGTTTCTGGCCTATAGTACGAAAAGTGTAAACTCACGTGAAGCATCAAATCTATTCACATAGACACTCTAATGCTAAATGGCTTTTTTCTGGTTTTATTACTATGAGATAAATAATACCTTAGTAAATTGTACTCGATATGATACTGATATAAAAACTCCTGTAATACAATGCATACAAGAATTTCAAAGACAAAACATGATATAGTTGCAATCGTTTTAAAAAATATGCAGTTAAATTGAACTCACTTTTTACATATTTTTGTCATATAGATCAAGTGAATCAGAATCTCAATGCTCCTTTTCATATGACCACAAGAATTATTCACCTGAAATAAATGCACGTGATTCTACCAGAAGAATGAATCATGAAAATACAGATTTATGGATTTTGAAATCAACTGGATCATCTGCATCTTCGGCTGCTCTTTCTCCGACCAATCCTCAAAATCTCAAATTCAATGTGCATTCTGACTCACAAAAACCAATGGAAGCGAGTATAAGCGATCCTTCTTTATGTACTGACAATTTAAATAATATTCAATCTAAAATACCTCCACCATTTTCATCTCCATCTCATCAGTCACGGCTAGCTGCGAAACAACGTTTCTGTCTAGAACCCCCTAAACCTTTAACAATTGATCCTTTACGATTCATTGGTTCAAGGAACCAAGAACGAACGCTTATATGTGCACTGGATGATTGTTCTGAAGCTGTAGAACCTATTAAAAGCCCAGTCATATCTACAGCAAACTTATGGCCGATATGTAACACAGCAGAACTCGAATTAGTAGACTTGCCATCCAAAGTTTTATATGAAGAACTACTAAATCAATCTCCACATGAATACAATAAAGTCACGACAGATTATGAAAATAGTACTTATGAAAGTGACTCAGGAGATTGGCTTGATGACGGTGACGCGTGCAAATACACCAAAATTGAAGGAGTACCATTAGCTACTCCTGAGGATGTTAAAGATGCAGATTCTTCGAGTATCTTTAATGAACCGCATTTTTACGAAACAATTACATCAAGACACCTCAATCGCTCCTCATCGTTACATTGCCGTCTTCCAAGTGATTATCAATTTGTGGCTATAACTAGGAAAAAAAAGTCTAGTGTCCGAATAAATAGTTGGAATTCCGATGCATCAATTTCTAATCCTCCATCAATTATTCAAACATCAATGAGTTCACCTTTAATTCGATCTACTGAAAATCTTAGCTGGGCTAAAATTAAACAGATTACTGTTAAAGAAGAGTTCGAAACTACACAAATTTCAAAGTCACCCAATCTGGCTAAGTTGTATGAAAACCAAAAACATGTATGCAGTGAATTAGATGATAGGTATGAACGGGAATATTTCATTGACCCAAAGATACTTGTTAAAAGTCTCAGTAAGTGGGGTCTATTTGAAAGCGATAATCAAGATACATCTAGTACAAGTAGTGCAGACCTTACTTCACAACCCATAATTCTGCCGAAACCTGACAGTATTCAGCAATTGAATGGAAAACTTTACGAAATCAAAATAACAAATACTCGAGACAACCGTTCAAATCGAAATTTGATGAAATCTCACAGAACGACCAATTTCATCCGATCTCATCCAAGCAGAGAATCCAGATCTTTAGATAGAATGAATTCAAACCCTTTAAAGATAGTATATCAGACAAAGCAAATTGACAATACAACATATCCTCATGTTATTCCTGTTATGTCTGAAAGTCCCGTTATCTTGAAGACTTCTCTGAAGGAAACAATCAGACGAAATCCTACGTCAGTATCTAGGAGACGATCTACAGTAAGTCCAGATAGTGAAGGCGTATATGTGTTTCGAATCGTTGGGGAACCAGGAACATCCAACTTAAAACCTGTATTTAACCAAACACCCACCAACTTGAATATTCAGAAGCATGTAAGTGAGAAAACAATTATTATGGGCGGTGACACAGGTGGGAGTGATAGAGTTTTGGTTTGACTCATTTAAGATTAAAGGTAAGTACATATTGTGTTTGAGGATAACATATCAATAAGTATTCGAATTATCGTAAAATTTAGCTTGTAGTTATCTAATCATGAAATAGGTATGGGTCATATGAAACAATAAGAGGTCACCAGTAACTATATGTCCATTTGTTTTAATACCTAGTATCTTCAATTGCAATGACTGGCTTTAATTATAAGCTACCTTTCAAGGTGTACGGGTTTAGATCAGAGTGAGGTGAGTTTGCAACAAAACGTCACTGCAAATCCATTAGTATTGATTTCGTATTTTCAGAGAAAATCGAAAACTAGAGAACATGGTAAATTCCACTAGTCTGTTTTAACAGTGTTCAGGTTTTTTGGTAGGCGTCACATCAACTGTTCTCATATTTTTGTGAGATATTGTAGAGTAAAGCAGTATCCGGATCGTCAACTTTGGCTAATTTGGATGTTGAGCGAATCCTCAGATGTCGATGTTTTCGTCGCACTGAAAGCTGATGCTCAGGTCCAGCTGAAGATTTATTGAGTAATAACGAAGCTCTATTTAGTCATTTAGGAAAAGCTTACCACTACTTAGTGCTCATTGATATTTTTTCCTATAGGCCTGGAAGTGGATGAGATGCTCCTAAATTTCATTTTGTGCAACACTGATATTCCCAGCATAAATAGTTGTAACTTAATTGGATTAAAAACTATGCGTCAGCTTAAAGACACACACCTATTCACTAGATCAGTGTACAACTGAAATAACTTATCGCAAACTTGACATCGTTTAATAACTTATTACCAACCGAAGTCAATATAGTATAGAAAACCAAGGTGAAATGGTTTAAGATGTACCAATGATCGTCATGAGAAACGCAAATTGATTCTCTGAATACCATGTCGATTATGAGACGGGTTTGCAGACGAACGGAAATCCCAAATACTGACTACTACCTCTGAGAATTATTTACCATGACAACGTTCTAACGGTCGACTATGTTTAGGACTTTGGTACCATTCATTTTATGGTTTTTCGACATTTCTTTTCATATTTTCAGGACATACCGGTTTTGAATTCCGAACTATGCTTTCAATATAAATGAACCTGACCGCTTTCCAAATACTAGTACAATATTTCCGGACCGACATACATTTCACAATAGGAATTTTTAGTCAGGGTTCTTGTCCCTGTTTAGCTATATATATAATCAGGCACTTCCGGACCCAGGCCTTCATGTTGAAGATATATGAGGTGTGTTATTACAACTGATACCATTTCTTTCTTTTCCCTATTATTGAGTGTAATTCTTTTACGCAAGTGCATATTATATGACAGACTAAATAATCTTTGCAGAATTTCTTTTGCTTATTTATAATTTTACTCAATCTCCGACTATATATTGCCTTTTTCAGTAAAATAATTTAAGATTTATAAGTTGCTTTTATTCCCACATATTGGTTAGTAATAAACTGGATATACTCAGATTATGTGTAGAATGTGAAGCTGGTTGTTTATCAGTTGTGTTCCAACTTTTTATGAGGATGATAAATTTTAAAAACAGAAGGAAGTTTGTGAAGTACTAAATAAATAACAGGTTTATTATTTTCTGAAAAGGATAATCGAAAATTATGTACAGCGAACGAAGTATACATGGAATTGGTAAATGTACAGGCGTTATGAAAAAATACACGAAATCTCACATTTAGTAGAGAAAAAGAATCTGGAACTAACATCACATTTCATACAGTAGTAAGATATTACGGTGTGTACGTAAATATATATACATAGAATACCCAGGTGCCTAGCGAAGTAGGCTACTGCGAAAAGTCATAATGTACAAAGATTTTATGATACAAGTTAAGTTGGGAACGTTTTAGGAAAATTAGCCAACTAATAGTTAAATCATATTGCAATCAGAAATCAAGTCGCTGCAAAAATAAAAATAAGAAACAAAGAAAAGACTCTTAAGGCTGAGAGCGCCAATACGTCCTATAGTAAGTACGTGTACGACGAAGCCTCGGTGTACGAGAAAGTATGACCTGTATATCTCTGAGAGTTGCACGATGTGCCCTGAGACTGAGTGCTAATGAAAATCCAGACGTGTTTGGCATGTTATCACCAGTCCCACTGACACCGGAGACCAACGAGTTTGAATTTGCTGGCGAAGCTTCTAAATTGAGTTGCGTTAGGTTTGGTCCTGATGTTACCAAACCTAGTCGACTGGCACTGACAATAGAAAGGCGATTAGCAGTAGCAGCAGGTAGGGCACTCACCAAATTTGTCACACCATCTCTTGTTGGAAGAGAGGCTCCCAAAATATCTGTTGAAATAGGGTTGCCCATTTCATCTAAAGTATCTAGACGACGCTTGCGTTGTGGACCGATAGCATGAAGAGCTGTAAGATTGGCTTGATGTTGCTTTTCACGTTCATAATCTTCAGATGCTATTCGTCGAGCCATTTCCCTCATCTGAATCTGATGAGGATCTTCATTTCGAGAACGTGACTAAAAATGGAAAAGTGCAAAAAAATAGTGATTCATTTTATGTGTTTTGAAAGTTGCAAACATCAAAGCAACCAATGAGTACAAAAAGTGTAAAATAAAAACTCCCGCACAATTCATTTTACCAATATTAGCTGACGTCACGCTACAAGGGACTTATCTACTAGACACCTAAAATTTTCAAAAACAAGTTAGTATTCGGCAGATAAATGAAATTAAATAAGATTACCTTACAAAATATTTTTAAGATATGTACTTTAAAACTCACTTTTGCAGCCTTCAAAATTAGATCCTTTTCTAATTCTGATTGCCTCACTCGGTCATGTTCATCCAACTTCTGAAGAAACCTCAACTGTTCACGTGTGTGATCTGTTTGAACCAAACGAGAATCCTCGCCTAAACGATCGAGACGATGTGATACTACAATCCTCAACTTTGATAAGAGATTTTTGATGAATATTTGCAAACCGTGGGCGAGACACGCGATAGATTCTTCTGTTAGTGTTTTTATGCCATGAGTTTCTAATATTTCCTTAACTTTTTCTGATGGGAAAAATGGATTGTCACGTGTAGGTGACATAGCGGGGTGACGGATATCGTCGCTCAAAAACGAGAGGTCATTCTGTTTTCGGTCTACACCTTCTATTAATACCGTAGATCCATTCAAGGATAGGAGATTAGAGCCTACTTTGTTGTGAACAGCGGGTAGAATTCCAGGAGAATAAGTGTTAGCATATCCAGATTTAGCACGAATTATAGGGGGTACAGATGCAGAAACACCAGCAACTGACTTTATCGACGCTAAGTTGATACCCAATGCTGTGGAAGTGGACGAAGCAATAATTGGTCGCAGGTTTTGGTAGTTCGAACGCGTACCGTTAATAGTCGATGTGAAACGTGTCGAGACCACTGTTGCAGCGGTTGTATTAGATACGACAGACGTTGAAGATGAAACACCACTAAAAGACTGAGCTAAACGATATTTTGCACCGGTGTTAGAACTTGAAGCTGCATCAAAGTTTACGATAGACGTTATACACGTCCGGGGAGGAGCAGGAGCCAGTAGTGGGGGTTGTGTTCGAGGTGTTGGAACAGTGACAGGACTAGTTGAAATAACTGGCGACGAAACTGATGACATGAGTGTACCTACTATGCGAGGAGTTGTATTCGTCGGCAGAGTAATGCGAGGACCAGCGGGCACTGTCGAAGAAACTAGTGTTGTAGAAACCGCAGCATTAGAACGGGGCTGAAGACCTAGGGTAGGTAATGTTGTTACGATCGAAACAGGGACCGCTGTGGGTACACCTGTGAAGATATCTTTTGGGGGAGGTTGTATGTTTGGGAGACGACAGACACCATTAGCTAGATCTCTCCTAAGTAAATCTATGTTGTCCTTTATGAATGGGGCGAGGTCCATACCAGGATTGGCACTTTTAAGATTGCTACGTAGTTGCGCACTGAACGAACTGGCATCAAGTTCTCCATTCTATATAAACAAAGTTAACGGTAAAAATTTGTGACACATGAAGTCAAAAGGAATAATGAAAAGATCGATTGATAAAACAGCGGTGGTGTCCGTCCACGGAACTGAATACCAAATCATAAATAAATATTTATCAAAATACAATATCATTGCTTAAATGACTGAAGGTTGTAGTGATCTACTGTTTAAAAAATTTAACTTTCGGTTACTAAACTGTAGGTCTACCTATTTCGATTTAGGCAACCGGATAGTTGAAATAGCCCTAATATCTACTGTAGTTCAAAACTGAGTATCTGAAGTCGATGAGTTACATTTCGCTTGTCAAAACAACAACAAGGGATATTTGAACATTAAATAAGAGATCAACTATGTTAATATCTAAGGAAAGGATATCATAAATATTTGGGGGTTATAAAAGTTATCTCAAGTTGAATATTATCTAGCATAGTTAATGAGCCTGTGTGGTTCTAAGACAAAAACTCTCGCTGACGTATGTAGAACCTCGAAACAGAATGTAACGACAGATATCCAGATTATAGGTTCAAATCTTACTCCAGCTACTGTAGTTTAGGGATTCTGAGAATACTGTTAACCCTCATGTGAGGAAGTCCGCAAAGAACTTCAACTTTTGAAACGCTACAAATCACCGGGCCAGATGACTTACCTCCGGCTCTTTTTAAAGATGGTGGTGACTTTCTGACTAAGGGACTGACGACGTTGTTTGCAAAGGTCTGGGAACTAGAGAGTGTACCAACGTCATGGAATGAGTCGATAGTTGTCCCTATCTTTAAGAAGGGTTCACGTCGTTCCTGTAACAACTGTCGGTGGATAAGTCTACTTCCGATTGCGTCCAAGCTATTGGCTTCCGTTATACTTCGTAGGTTGTTCAAAACCCGAGAAAGATTGACTCGCGAGGATCAGGCTGGCTTTCGTTCCGGTCGACAATGTATTGATCATATCTTCACCCTCCGCCAAATGTTAGAACACCGCCATACTTATCAAAGGCCAACAATCGTGGTGTTTCTTGATATCAGGGCTGCCTTCGATTCGTTGGACAGAACTGTTCTCTGGGATTGTCTATTGAAGAAGGGTGTGTCTGAGAAGTTTATTAACATCCTAAAAGCCCTATACACAAACACCTTAGGCAGAGTGAAGGCATACAACCACCTTTCTCCATTATTCCATTCGAGCAGTGGGGTTAGGCAGGGTTGTCCAATCTCACCATTCCTCTTCAACTTTGCCATTGATGACATTCTGGAAATAGCTCTGATGGATGTAAGTAGTGGCGGTGTGGATCTGTTGCCTGGAGAAAGACTTCTCGACCTTGAGTATGCGGATGATATTGTCTTACTGTGCGAGAGTGCCCAAGCCATGCAATCCGCAGTTAATCAGTTGGCAATCAGTGTCCGTAGGTATGGTATGTGCTTCGCACCTTCGAAGTGCAAAGTACTTCTACAAGACTGGCAGGATTCTAATCCTGTACTCACTCTGGATGGTGAGCAGATAGAACTCGTCGAAAAGTTTGTGTATCTGGTTAGCTGCATAAGTGCTGGTGGTGGCGTGAGTGATGAGAACAATGCATGTATAGTGAGAGCCAGAGTGACTTATGCCAATCTGGGCCATCTTTGGCGCCTTCGTGATGTTGGTCTGGCTGTAAAAGGTCGGATCTACAACGCGTCGGTGAGAGCAGTTTTGCTCTATGCTTGTGAAACCTGGCCTCTTCGAGTTGAGGATGTTAGACGTCTCTCTGTGTTTGATCATCGTTGTCTCCGAAGGATTGCTGACATCCAGTGGCAACAGCATTTTAGTGATGAAGAGGTTCGCGTCGTGTGTTCTTGCACAGAGACGATAATGCAGTTGGTGTCACCATCTTGAAACACCGACTTCGGTGACTTGGACATGTTCTACGAATGTCATCCCAAAGAATTCCACGTCGTGCATTACTAGACGACGCTGGGACTGGTTAGAAAAAGCGAAGAGGTGGTTTGTGTATGACATTGTGTCGTGGTATGAAAGAAAGCTGCAAAGGGCTGGTTTGTGTTGGTCCTTCACGAATTCCTGGCTGGGGTCCGAGAGATGGTGTAACACAGTGGCTAGAGACGTTATCAGATATGGCTCAGAATAGAAGCCAGTGGCGATCCTGCTGTAACCTTCTTTTACTTTCCTCATAAAAAAGTGGTTGCCTCTTCCTTAACTGAAAAATTTCTTCTGATTGTACCCCATTATTGTTCTCTCTTTTTTTCTCCTTTCTCTTCAAATTATCATTGTTTTGTGTGGTGCATATATATTTGGTGCTCCCTTGTACCAATAAACAATGTTAACCCTCACGCAATAAACATGCCACATAGTCTAAAAACGAAACCTGTGCACAATCACTGAATTGCAAAATATAGTGATTTTAGAATTTATTTAGTTAAAAACTCACCACTAATGCTTGAATTAGCGTCGCTACTGAGCTATGAGTGCTAGCTGAGACATTTTTTGATAGTTCTAACAATTGGTTAAAAAATCCCACCAATTTAGTTGAGGAACCCGACTGAGATGTGACAACTCCTGATTATGAAAATAAATATCAGAAAATACCTCTTGAAAAAGTTTTTAAGCGGTTAAACAAACTGGTTAAGACATTGGAAAAAAGGATTTGGTCACTTACTTTGAAGCTTCCAAAGAAATCAACTTCGTAATAACTTGTCCCCAGAGGTCCAAATGTTCCACACGAGTCAGCTAGGTGGTATGACTGAAAGGGGTGAATTTTACGTCCTCATTTTGTTGCTCCAGGATTGACCTGCGTCAACACCTGAACTAAGAATAAGGAGTGAAGCAGTCTGACGCGTTGACAACTTCAGTTATCTTGAAAGTCTGATCAGCCCTGATGGGTTTGTGTCTGACGAAATCTCTGCACGGATTCAGAAAGCTTGTTTCGCTTTTACCAACTTAAGTCACTTATGACGAAAGCAAGATATCCGTCTATCCATAGAAGTACGAGTATACAGCTCAGGATTTCCTTCTGTTCTACTTTACGTCTGCGAAACGTGGTCATTAAGAGTAGGAGATACTCGTGAGTTACTAGTATTTGACCACAGGATCACCGGGTAAGTAATAGTGAGGTTAGACGCATAGTATTGGGGAATGATGGTGAATCAATTGATGAGGTTGTAAATTTTCATCGACTGAGATGGTTTGGCCACGTGTTACGTATGTCTGAATACTGACTAGTGTTGGGAATGGTTAGAAGTAAATTAGGGGCGGCCAAACCAAAACATGGCATCAGTCCTTGAAGTCACTAACTTCTGGTCTGAGCCATATCGGTAGATGCAGACTACTTGGTTGTGGTCCGTTCAACTATCGTAACCAATAGTTGGAGATCCTGTGTGGCATGGCAGAGAATCAACCACAATGGCGTAGGTGTATACGCTCTTTGTCCGCTCTTAGTGAGGTTGGAATTGCTTTATAAATTTATTTCTATGAACTAATTCTTTCTTCCTGTATAATATCCTTACATACAATCTTTCTTTCATGTATTACTACCAATGAAGTAACTACGTCTATGAATGCAGTGTTCATCTTGTTGTGCTAATGAGGTGTGGCAAGTTGGACCGATGCATTTATGACTGACTAACCCCATTCTGTCACATACCACCAGTTGTACTGTAGCAGGAAGGTATTTACCAAATATAGAATTACTTGGTCTGTCTAACTCTGCCTGGAGTCCCTCCGGGGGCTACTGCCGGTCCCAAGCCCGGATAAAGGAGGAAGATTGGGCATGGGGTTAGCGACCCCATGCCGTAGAAAACTAACTCGCTAAAAGAACGCTAACCAGAAAAAAATATTCAAACCATTTAAACTCTGTCCTGGGAGTCAGGTCTTCGTTTAGAAAAATTATGACGCCTCATGATGAAAGCCGAGTTCCTTCGGAAGTCACGAGGCCGATGCCCCTTCTGACAACCAGAGCAACCATTTATTTAGGTACATGGAATGCTCGTACAATGTGGGAGACTGGGAGAGTCTTCCAAATTGCTGCTGTACGTATATCTACTAGGGCCAAGGAAAGTTTACTGAATAGTGGTTTGTTTGTAATTACATTACTGTCGTAAAGCGTGGCCACAATTGCTATCTGCTGATTCATTATGAATCGCTAGTTAGGGTCCTATCAATGGTGTAATTTAGTTGATTGAGAAATTATCAAATGTGGGTCAGGAAAGAAGCCATTAGAGTTTCTGCTTTAGATTTCTTTTATAGCCTATATAGAAGTGAACACAAGTTACTAGAAAAAACTCCGAGCTGCTAGTAAATTTCCACAAATGACAACAAAGAAGATGGTTGGGCCACGTGTTGAGTATGCATGAACACCGATTACCACGGCGCGAAATGCTCACTGGTGTTAGGGATAATTGGAAGAAAGTTAGGGGCGGCCAAACCGAAACGTGGCATCAGTGCATGAAGTCACTAACTTCTGGTCTGAGCCATGTCGGAAGATTCAGACTACCTGGTTGGGGTCCGCGTGACTATCGTAACCAATTGTTGGAGACTCTTGGTGACATGGCTCAGAATCTATCACAATGGCGTCGGTGTATACACTCTCTGTCTTCCTTAAATTAAGAGATTAAAATCACTTCCAATCTTTCTTTCTAGGAACTAATTCTTTCTTCCTGTACTATCTCCTTATACACAATCTTTCTTATATACATTACCACCACTGAATTAACTACTTCTATGAATCCGGTGTTGATCTTGTTGTGCTAATGCGGTATGGCAACTTGGACCGATGCATATACGTGCCTGGTCCTACGTTGCAGCTGACTGACTGACTGACTAATGTTTCGGATTTTAACTAGATGAACTGAATATTTCAAGTGTTTCGATAGTCTTATATAAAGCTGACCCATATAATGTTTATATATATATTAAAATGGAAGACTTACTTGGCATAACAGGAGTGGTGGCAAGTACACCATTTGGTTGGAGTACAGTTTGTCCAACCGCCAAACTCCTAACTTGCATCACACTCGGAGCACTCGGAAGGACATTATTAGTTATCCCAGATTTAGGAAGCAAGTACACCTGGTTAACCATGGGTGGTCGAGGGACCTTTATAAGACAAAATTATACAAGGAAGTCCTATAGAAATGTACCACCATGAATAAACTATGTATGAAAAGTTATTTTTCAAATTTAAATGGAATTTTTAGGGAAAATAAAGGGATATAACTATCCTTTCTGCATTTTGATATGGGAAGGTCTCGCAATGTGTGGACAACGATATGAAAAAGATGATCTCATGAGTTGTTACGAAATAATAGCATCTGTTGACTTGTTTAAAGTCATCTGAATCCTGGGAAGTCGACAGATAGAAATACACTGGTACAGGGAAAGCAAAAACTGTCACTGACAGTAATCTTATTTCCTATTTACAAGTTACTAAGCTGTTAACATACTTCGGTTGATTAACTCAATTTGTACCTGTCATACCCAAAGGGGTTTAGTTGTCAAATGAACCAACTATTAATCAGTCCCGTTTTCCAGATTCCATCAACTTTGTACAATTAAGTGGCATCGCTAGCCATAATACAAAAAGTGGGTCCAAGTCAATTACACAGATATGGGCTTGGTTACTAAGTCGTAGTGTCCAAATATAGAAAGTTGATAAACCGAATTAAAATATGTTACACTAAGTTGACAAAGTCAACAATTCAGCAAAAAAATACGTCATTCACTGGTCTTATTACTTGTATTGAATTGTTTGTCCTGTAAATAAAGTATAGCAACTCGGACCGATGCATGAATTTACAAATTTCCAAGACGTTTTGTCTCATGCGTTTTAAGGAATAATACAATTTTTGTAGCTATCTCAACTATGAGTCTTTATTCAATTACTGCGCTACATTTCCATTCAGAAAAATGAGTAAATTTGTCCAGTCTTAAGTACCAACATCTAAAGAAGTGATATTGAGATCAGGTTGGCTGACAAGTTTAATTCATCGGGCCACCTGAGCCTTTCCAACTTCTTATGTTATCTTGTTCCGTATACTAACGTACAATGATTATGATTAAGGGAAGAAGCAAACCCTAAATTCATCAAGCATCTAACCGGCAACTACGTAGAACCTGGATTATAGGAAAGTAGGCTAGCAGTTGAGTCGATGAATTATGGAAAATCAGTTGCAGTGCGACAGATAATAATTAATTTATCAGTCACAAGGAAGACTGTTTGGGTTGGATTATTTTTTTTATCTGATCATATGTAAAAAAAAATTGTGAATTTCCCTCGTGATCTTCAGCGATTGTAACCGATACTTTACTGTGTTGAATCTTGCATTAATTTAACACAATCAAAGGACATAGCCATGTACGACATAGTCTACAGATAATTATGAAAAAGCATATGATTTGTACTCAGGGAAATCCGATTTTACGCTTTTATTATCTTTAACACTGAAGCTGTGGTAAGCATTTCTATAAGCACACAATAACAGATTAGCTTCGAAAATAGCAAGTGAAACAAGGTTGGGAATGTAATGAGATTACAACTATAAGACGCAATGAATTATAAACTCCTGTAGTATCCTATCAGCACTGATGGTTTAGTGATAATATACGAATGCTCAGCCCTTGATAGATCGGCACCAAAAAGATCTGAATGGACTTTGCATTACCTAGTAATATCAAATACACATAAGCAATAAAATTTCACTCAATCCCTATTGCTTCAACTCAAAACATAACTTAAGTGTTGCTGGCGTACCATCAATCATGATGACGAAAGATAGACTACTGGAAACTTATCGAAAGTCCAGTCGCAAAATATACCAACTATCTACAACCGGATATGTTTGCCACCTTTTTGATGGAGTTTTGTTCTCTGAGCTGGATGGTTTGGTCGTGGAGCTTTCTTCGTTCTTTTGAACGACATCATCAGCACGAACTTCAGATAGATGATGTCGTTCAGATGAACGATGAAAGTTCCACGACCAAACCATCCAGCTCAGAGAACAAAACTCCTTCAAAACCATCCACCTGAGCTACAGATCTTCTCCACCATGTTTTCCATCTCCTAACCCAGAAGAGTTTATTTTATAAACATTTTGACTTATCCTTAGTTTAATTTGATCAAAGGGTGAGACTATAATTTATGGACGAATCAACCACATTTTAGATCATGGATTTGGCGAGAAATTCATTTGGTTAAATACCATTTTGAGATTATAGCTGATGTCGATACCTCATGAGAACATTAAATCTAATTCCCAATCTTAACACCCAACTACATCCCAATGCTAATTCCTCACACTAATAACCCTAGTAAGTAGGTGAACATCCCAAATTCATTTGTGTTGCTCAAAGGTCGTCCATAAATTATAGCCTTGCCGACCAAAGAAGTAAGAAGAATCATGCTATGAACTAAATACTGCTGAAATATGCAGAACAGGATGTGATGAGTCCGAACTCTGAAATATATTGATCAAAACGTCTATTATTGAGGCACAGAAATATTTTTCGATAACCGTTGAGCAATTACAACTGTTACATCAAATGTCTTACGATTATGAGTACTAGGAAACAGTAGATTAAATAAGGGGAACCTGGAACTAAGGACCCCTTTGAACTAACACCGGAGGTTTGTAGCTGTTTGCTTTCCAAAGCATGTTTAGTTGGCCAGCATCCTAAATCTATAATTAAAAAGCTCGTGTTACGTAGAGAAACTGTCCTAAATTATCCCCGAACAAGACTATCAGTTTTAGGGGATAAGATATCAATCTACGAATCCTTGTGGTCAAAATTTACTGATGGTTAATATTTATTTATTTATTTTAACACATAAGTATAGGTACAGGGAGGCATCATGTACATATGCGCCACAAGAACCTCAATTGATTTGTGTGAGGGCTGTGATACTGCTCCGGTGCCCAAACCGAGGCAGGTGGTTTTCTTAGGGGGCCACACCCCGAGCCTTCGACCTGAACGTCTGATCCACAAGGCAGTGGAGCATCGTGAGGAGATACAGTCCCATGGAAGCCGGTGACCAACGATTGGTTCATACGCCATTTGTTCCTTCAGGATACTGGAGCCCATGTGCACCATTGGTTTGGGGTCCGGTTAAAGCGCTAGACATTTGCTTTTCGTCCTCACATTTTTGTAAACAACACCCCCGCCACGAGAAGGCAGTGAGTAGGACTTCCCTGGCAGAGGCTATATACGCATGGCCATGTGAGAGCATTTCGAGAGGGAGAGCGGACTCTCCCCACTCTCGGCCGTACCATTTGGGGGCGATGGTTAATAACCCAATATTATTTTAAGGGTGTTTACAAAATAGCATCCTGCTTAATCAAGCTGTTGCAGCTAGAATATTAAATCAGCAACCTGCCCAGCTATAAGTATTCTAGAGATGCCTCGCAGGATTGTTACCTAATATCGTCAAAGTTGAGGGTGCTGTGTAATCAGGACGCAAATGAAGGCATACTGCAAACGTCCTTTCGGATTCGTACTGTTTTTTTTTCTAAATGAACAACAAGATAGTGATAGTAGCTTTGTCATGGAGGTACTTAATGAACATCCATTTAATGACCTACAATCTTGCAAGTTTACATAATCTAAACCTGGAAAACCCTAAAATTAGGTCTCGGAGTCAGCTAGTTCTACTTTTGTAAAAGAGGACATTACTTTAGGAGATTTCGGGAATTTCGAAGTGTTCCAGCATCTGAAGACACATTGCTCCTAAAATGCGATGTGGGAAAGGCCTTTATGAGATATTAAGTCAAATATATTCTTCGGATTTTAATCTCTATAGAATTTACCAAAACTATCAAATCATTAGACCATTAGCTTTGAACCAGAAATGAAAAAGTTGTGGTACTGATGTTGACACTTATCAGACGACAATGTTACCACTATTACTTTCAAACTGCTCACCCCCAGAACTTCTTAATATACAGCTGTGCCCTCATCCCAGATATCGGGTAAAAATAAAAACGATAATTACGACGCATTTGTCTGAAATTTATATTAGATTTTAAATTAGTAAAATACATTGCGTAAATGAAGCAAACATATTCCTTTATGTTCAATATTATCCACAAGTATGTAGAAGGTCACTCCAACACATCTTAAGAGTGATTGACACGTTTAATTGCCACTACGTTTTAGCAACGAGTC